CTCTTACTGTATGTTTTTATTCAGGGAGATATTTTCAATGCACAGCTGCAAGGGGCTGTGAGGACAGTCTCGTGAGGACCAAATCCGAATTCAAAAGGTTACATACCAATCTATTATCTATTTATATGGGTCGGTTACATGAATCTTGTCTAATTAACTATAACATTTTGTTTAGTGCCATGAACGCCTAAACCATTTCTTCCTACTTCTCCTATCATCGAGCCTCTTTCTAAACTTTTGATGCCTAGAACCTTTAGGTTATGTTTGGTTTGAAGGAAGAGGTAAGGAAAGGAAGGAAAATGTAAAGAAACCTATACAAGATTTCTAAAGGTTTCCTTACCTTTCCCTTCCTTTCCTTATTTTTCCCTTCAAACCAAACATATCCTTAAATCCTTCTCTCTAGTTTTATTTCTGGGTGGATTCTTAGATTGGCTGGTCTTTCTTCAATCTTTTAGCAATCAAGTTCGAATTCGATTGGCCATATTGAGTGGCTAGCTCTTTCAGCTTGACATTGTTAGTTAGGCTCAGTTTGTGAGGAGTACAAATACAAATTCGTACAGTACAAATAGATAAAAAATAATACAAATACAAGGTTTTGCATTCTACATATTTGTATTTGTACTCCTTCCAAACTGAGCCTTAGTCTCCAAAGAATGAAAGCTCTTTGGTAAAAAGCAGAAAAGTCAATTTAGTCTTCTTATTCCCCATCAATAGACCTTGAACCTTAGAGGGAGAGATAATCATGGATGGGAACTAGAAAGAGAAAGCTTGACTGTACAAACCCTTCGAAATCTTTACCTTGTCTCCTCTGATGTACAAGAGTTGATTGTAGGTGCTGTAAGTTCATCATTTACTATATATAGAAACCACACCCATTTAAGTAAAGGATAGAACAGATATAAAGGAAACGTAAAGACCCAACCACAAACTACAAACTCAAGGGAAAAGGTTGCTGTTGTGTCAACATTCACCCTCACCATTTGTACGTCTACTTACATAGGAGATCGGTTTCCATCAGGGCAAGCCCGTGCCTATACCATTCCAACCACCTTTTTCAACTTTGCATTGAGAATATCTCCCCATGAAATAAAGCAAATAAGCATAAAGATATTCTCAATACAAGGCTGTAAAGACTGCTTGAACAGGCTTTGCCTTGATCGAAGCCAAACTCCTTACATGAAAGCTTCTTATTAGTAGTAATGTTTTCTTGCTCAAAACTCTCTCCCAGAAATAGAAGAGAGTGTGTTGTGTCAATGGATCGTGGCAGCAAGGCCACTATGCTTAGGATTTGCTCAATTAAACTGGTTTTGAGAAGCATGAACAAGGTTTCTTTTTTGAGAGAAAGCATGAACAAGTTTCTTTCTTTTATTTTTGAGTAAATTTCTTGTTAGTCAAGGGCGGAGCCAGGGATTTTTTGGGGCAAAAACTAATATGATTACTACTTAAACACGGATCTTAATTTTTATATTAAAAATGCTAACAATCAAAATAAAATCTAATATACGATTCTAAATACCAAAATTTTAAAACTAATATATGATCCTAATTTTTTATTATTAGTTTGTCATTGTGTGCTGGAATTCCTTCATTCAATACGTTGGAAGTTGGAATACCAAAAGAAAAAGATTTTACATTATAGATTTGAGATACAACTTATAAATTATTTGGATTTTTTATGTTTTTTTTTTATTTTATTTATTGATGTATTTGTTATTATTTTTCCTCTATAAAGATCCTAAAGATTAATGGATAAGAACGAATGACCAACTTTGAATTAGACAAGCATTAACAATGAATGGACCCTATATGTTCAACAAAAATCCCAAATGAGACATTCGTGTAAATGCATGGCATGACCTGCCCAGCACACACAAGCACTCGCAGTGCGAGTCTCGCACGACTATGCTTGCACCCCCTGCCCACTGCCTAGCCCACCTACCTGGGCTTGCCCAGTGCCCAGCCCACCCACCTGCACTTGGTCACCTGCCCTGTGCCCCTACCCAACCCACCCACCTGGCCAGCCCCTTGCCCAGCCCACCGGGCTTGGCCTAGCCAACCCCCTGTACAGAAAACAAGGAAATCCAATTTAAGAAAATAAAAAATATATAAAACCTTAAACAACAATTGAAATACAAAAAAATAATACTCAATAAACAATAGAATAACACTCAATCAAAACTGTAAAACCACTTAAAATTTTGGTGAATGAAATTTTTTACTTAAGAAACTAAATTAATATCTAAAGAAACTAAATTAAAACTATTGAACTAATCAATCAAAACAGAAAATATCTAAAGAAACAAAATTAATAAGCAGAATAAAAAATTAGAATTTACTTACAAGTTTCAAATTAGAACTATTGAACTAATCTAATAAGCAACAAAACCACAAATTTTTAAATTAGGAGCTAAGGAGATCTTGAAAGCACAAGAAAAAATCTTGTATATTAGTTTTAGAATTTTGGTATTTAGGATCATATATTAGATTTTATTTTAATTGTTATCATTTTGAACTATGAATGTTCCTCTCAGTCTCAGTAATTTGAAATTTGTATGTCATCTGGGTCAGATGAATGCAACCCAAATTAATTTCCTGTGTTGTTGAAGAAGATCAATTTTAAAGCAACAAAACAGGTTCTTTTTTAAAGGAGAAGCAGCGGTGTAGTGTAAAAGTGTACATAAGAAACTTCTATTTGGCTTGCTTAGAAAGCTATCTTCTTGTATTAATCTTTGCAAGAAACCAGAATACCTATGAAGCTCTTGTTAGACAGTGTATGCCCTTAGCTCCAAACAGAATGATGTACATTATGACATTTATTGTAATTGAATAAAGTACATATTTGATTCATGTTATAGTGGTGTGTTTCTATGTAATACCCTTAAATTGAACATATAATGAGACTCGTGTTAGTTTAGAATATTCACAGCCAGTGGGTCGATCTGGGGAGATCTATCCTGATAGGGTTGACATTAATATGTCGCCAAGTTGGTTGGGGTGGCCTATCTCAACCGCCAGGGTGAAATCCTAGGTAATTGTGGTGTAGGTTTAACTTGAAACCTTGAACCGGACCAGAATTCCAGTGTTGCCCTGGACCTTGGTGATAAGTGGACAAAACTGGAATGTTACACCTGACCCCTATACTCGATTATGATACTACACTAGGTGTCAGATTGGGCTGTCTTTGAT